ATGCTTCTAGGATTTTAATTGTCACACTCTCAGGGTGAAGCCAGTTAAAGAAACATCTCAGATCTAATAATATAGCACTGAAATAAATTATTAAGCAGGCAGAAAGTTAAGTACCTATATAAGTTTAGCAATGGAACAAGATGCCAGGAGCCCTAAAACATCCCACTCTTGACCCTCATAAAATAGTTTCCCAAGAACACTTATGAAGGCCGATCGTTCAGCGGAATCTGGGAGTACGTGCCAGTAGCATAGAAACCATGAACATGCATTAAGTGCTCTTAGCTTTCAGGAAAGCTAATTTAGAATTCTGAGGAAACACATCTCAAGACTTTTTCTTAATCCAGAAATAGAACACTACTAGGATTTGTTGAAAAGGCCAAAAAAAAAAAAAGCCTCTTTTATTTATAATAACAAAAAAATAATGATTGTGTCCGTACTAACGCAAAACTCACTTAGTTTTATTTATTTGTTTATTAAATTTATATGCTGCCAATCTCGCTATCAGGGCAGCTTAAAGTCAAGGCCCTGTCTTGTTCTGGTTTGCTTCAGTAGTATCTCATTTTGTAATCTCTTTGTCTTTAGCTTAGCATGGCACATCACCCCATTCTTTGTGGATTACATCTTAACCCAGTCAAAAAGTGATACCATTGATCCAATTTGCTCAATGCTGTCTGAACTGACTAGCTATTACATATTTTCAGAGAAAGGTCTTGAAAGATCTTTCCAAGTGCAGGGCTATAGATTGAGTCTCGAACTTCCTGCATGTGAAGTAGATGTTTTCCTTTGAAAGACAACTCTTCCCTATGATTCAGCTAAAATATACACCTGCCATAGCTTTAGTCTCCAAATGTTAATTGTTCTGTGACCAAAGTAGGACATCCACACAGAAATATCAGATGACATGTCTGGATTCTGAGGATTCTGAATTACTCAGAGGTGTCTGCAGGGCAGAAAGGTGAACAATAATGAAACATTCATTGTGACACAAGCTTTATCTCTCATAAATCTCTATTCAGTGTGATGATGCAAGGGCCAAAGGGGAGAGTTGCATTATAATATCACAATATAAATTTTGGCATCATGCTGAATAGGATTGAATGCCATGGAATTCTAATAAATGTATAGCAAACACAGTTCAAGGAATGCTCAATGGGTGAAATGTATTTGAGGCACAGATAGAAACCAGGGAAAACATCATAGCTAAGTACTTGGATCAGAGAATGCACTATCCTGTTGCATTTCATCATAAATCTAAAATGTCCAAGCCTGAAGTTCTAATATTGGTCAGGCTGTCCTAAGTGATGAAAATTCCTATGTTGAATTGTGTTAATTGTGAAACAGATGCCTGAGTGTCTGATGATGTGTCAGAGGTAGCTAAGACAGCAGTGAGTCTTTAAAGGGAAATTGCTCTGTCCTCTCTGGAAATTATAATAGTTTTTTTAAAATAAACTTTGCTGAAATTGCTTGTGTTCACTTATTGAGAGGGAGTCATAAGGATATTTTAATAATTCCTTTGTTCCACAGATAATATTTATTTCCTTTCTAATTAGTTTGTGTTTCCTTACTTATGTAATCAAATAAAGTATAAATGTTTGCTGAAATATTGTACGTAGTCCCAGCCTTATAGGAGGACTCATCTTTACCCAGATCCAAACAAACATATCACTTAAAGAGAACTGGGATCTGTCTCTGTCCATATTGGGTCTGACCTAGAGACAGTATATAATACTGGGTCACTTGCACTCTCCATAAACTTTTATTGAGGCCCTCAAGGAATCTCCAACAGTTTCCAATCAATTATTTTAATAAAACATAAAAAGGAAATTATTAAAAACAAGAGGCATAATCTTTTAGTTTTATACAATCAATTTCATTTTAACTTACCATAAATTAAATCAAACTGAAATGTTCCTTTCTAAACCTGTTTGTCTTTAAATCTCTCTTAAAATGTTGTGCCCAAAAATTGACACTAAAGTTGACATGAGGTTTGATCAAAACATAATGGAAAAATGATAACTTCCCATGATTTAGAAACTATACACCTATTGATATTTTTTTAAATTGCACTTACGTCTATAGCTACATTGTTTAGTTTAGTTTGCAACTGATTGCTACCTTTTTCATAACTACTATTACCAAACCAGATATTTCATATCTTATACCTGTATATCAAGTTGTTTCCTAAGTGAAAAAGATTGCAATTACTTTACTGCATTTCATTCTATCACTTTTAGTTCATTTTCCTGATTTATTAAGATTTTAATTTATTTTTGTCTTCTAGGGTTTTTGCCCCCTTTATGGATTACTACCTTGTCATGGCAAAGGGGCTTGCATAACTCAATGAAGCTATGAACTATGCTGTGCAGGGCCACCCAAGATGGACACATCATAGCAGAGAGTTCTGACAAAATGTGATCCATTGGAGAAGGAAATGGCAACCCACTCCAGTATCTTTGCCATGAAAACCCCTTGGACAGTACCAAAAGACAAAAAGATATGACACTGGAAGATGAGCCCCTCAGGTAAGAAGGTGTCCAATATGCTACTGGGGAAGAGCAGAGGGTTAGTACTAGTAGCGCCAGAAAGAATGAAGTGACTGGGCCAAAGCCAAAAGGATGCTCAGCTGTGGATGCATCTGTTGGTGAAAGGAAAGTCTGATGTTGTAAAGATCTATTCTTCATAGGAACCTGGAATGTAAGATCCATGAATCAAGGCAAGCTGAATGTGGTCAAACAAGAGATGACAAGACTGAACATCAACATCTTAGGAATCAGCAAACTAAAATGGACAGGAATGGGTGAATTCAGATGACCCTCAGGTATACTACTATGGGCAAGAATCCCTCAGAAGAAATGGAGTAGCCTTCATAGTCAATAAAAGAGTAGAAAAGCAATACTGGGATACAATCCCCAAAATGACAGAATGATCTCAGTGCGAATCCAAGGCAAACCATTCAATATCACAGTAGTTCAAGTCTACACCCCAACCACTGGTGCTGAAGAGGATAAAATTGACTGGTTCTATGAGTCCTACAGCACTTTATAGAATTAACACCAAAAAATGATATCCTTATCATCATGGGGGATTGGAATGATAAAGTAGGAAGCCAACAACCCAAGAGACAGCTCTATACATGGACATCACCAGACAGCCAACACAGAAATCAGATTGACTATGTGCTCTGCAGCCAAAGATGGAGAAGCTCTATACAGTCAATAAAAAAAAAGACCAGGAGCTGACTGTGTCTCAGATCATGAGTTTCTCATTGCAAAATTTAGGCTTAAATTGAAGAAAGTAGGGGAAAGCACTAGGCCACTCAGATATGAACTAAATGATATCCCCAATGAATACACAGTAGAGGTGACAAATAGATTTAAGGAATTAGATCTGATAGACAGAGTGCCTGAAGAATTATGGATGGAGGTTCACAACATTGTACAAGAGGTAGCAACTAAAACCATCCCAAAGAAAAAGAAATGCAAGAAAGCAAAATGGTTGTCTGAGGAAGCTTTGCAAATAGCTGAGGAAAGAAGGGAAGCGAAAGGCAAGGGAGAAAGAGAAAGATATACCCAATTGAATGCAGAATTCCAGAGAATAGCTAGAAGATATAAGAATGCCTTCTCAAATGAACAGTGCAAAGAAATAGAAAAAAACAATAGAATAGGGAGGACCAGAGATCTCTTCAAGAAAATTGGAGATATGAAGGGAATGTTTCATGCAAAGATGGGCATGATAAAGGACCAAAATGGCAGGGACCTAACAGAGGCAGAAGAGATTAAGAAGAAGTAGCAAAATTACACAGAAGAATTATACAAGAATGAGCTTAAGGTCCTAGATAACCATGATGGGGTAACCACTGACCCTGAGCCAGACATCCTAGAATGTGAAGTGAAATGGGCCTTAGGAAACCTGAGCAACAACAAAGCTAGTGGAGGTGACAGTATTCCAGCTGAGCTATTCAAAATCTTAAAAGATGATGCAGTAAAAGTGCTACACTCAATTTGCCAGCAAATTTGGAAAACTCAACAGTAGCCACAGGATTGGAAAAGGAAGGATTCACTGGAGAAGGGCCTAATGCTGGGAAAGATTGAGGGCAATAGAAGAAGAGAATGACAGAGAATGAAGTGGCTGGATGGAGTCACTGAAGCAGTAGGCGTGAGCTTAAATGGACTCCAGAAGATGGTGGAGGACAGGAAGGCCTGGAGGAACATTGTTCATGGGGTCACAATGGGTCGGACACGACTTCGCAACTAACAACAAGGGTTATTGCATCCATTTTTTTATTTTTATTTTTGTCATCAGCAATTTTGTGAGCATTCTCTTTACACCACTGGTTAAAAAAACAAACTGAAGAGTAAAGATTCCAGGACTGATTCCTATGGTACTCCTTTGATTTGTAGTTTGCTGGATTTTTGTTTTTCCTTTTTGAAGATAAGGACACAATTCAAATCTCCAGGATTTCTTAGACTTCATACATAAAGGATTAGTAATTCAAAATGGATAGGTATTCCATGATCTGGTTCACTAAGGCCCCAATTATGAGAGAACAACACATGTGTTAGATGTAATCTATTAAGTGAAAGTGAGTGAATAGCAAATAAATATCAAGAGCCTATTACCTTTGAAACGGTTAGTGCATAACATTCGGCCATGCTTAATTCTCCATCTGAAATCCCTTCCCACATGTGGAAAATCAGAAATTTAAAGAAAATGTTAGAATCTTTTTCTCTAAGATATTAGTTTATATTGCAGAGGATATTATTTATTTAAAGAGTATATAAAATACCACTTATTAACATAAGATCCCACTACAGTCTGAAAACATTTGTCTGTGTCCAAGACACATTAGTTCTTTGGATATTCTTAAAAGTTGTCCAAGTGAGAAAGGGAGGTACAGAAAAATAAATTCATATGATCATATGTACTACCTAAGTCTGGTGGAACGTAATAGTGTTACGTTTTTTTTGTTCTACATTTCAAAGGATAAACGGCAAAAAGAGTAAATATTAAATAGCTTTATTTGCAACCACAAAAAAGTTAGCAGAGTCACCTTTAAATACTGAGAAAATACAGTCACCAATAATATCCCAGTATTTATAACACTTCTGTGACTTTCACAGTATGACCACATTTTTTTCAGCATTTGCGATTCTCCCTTGCTATTTTAAGCATATCATAACAATAAAGGCACATTATAATAAATTTAATGATGCACTACATCATACATTCACTCTGTTTTATACAATTTATAAACAGAAATATATATACAGAATGAAAACAATATAGCCAAAATGAAAAAATACATACTGTAGAATTAAGATTTATTCACCTAACACCCATCTCCAAGCCCGCAAATTTAAATATCATTTTCTCTTTCCATCTGTGAAGATTTCCACAACATTATTGTTAAGCATCAGTCACAGTCATTGAAACTAACCTAACCACTGAACACATTAGGCAGGTTTCATCCAAAAGAGTTATTATACTGAAGGAATAAAATCCATAAAAGAACTGATTTTTCCGGAACCATCCCTCTTTTACTTCCCAAAACTACTCCAAGAAAACTGGAGAGCACTTGCAAGATGCATAAGCAATGTACAGACGAAGGACCATTGAACAAATAGTAATCTTCTCATGTAAATTGACATAACAAAGAATGGCAGTAGACTCTATCTTCAAAAGTCCAGTTTCAAAGGGGGAGAAGGGTTAGTTATATTATATAAAGATAGTATTGGTCTATTATAGGAACATATGTTATAGATTAGAATGCTTCTTAGATCAAGTCAGATTTGACATCCATCTAGTTCAGTATGGATTATATTAACAGTAATTCACAAATCTTTCAAAAAGGTCTTTTCCAGCCTTCCCTGAAGATGCTAGAGATTTGTTATATAAAACCTTCTATGTATAAATACATGCTCCATCACTGAACTGTGGTCTTGCTCTTTATATATCAAGCCTGCTCTATCCTAATACCAGAAAATGATATTTATTCAAGATAACTGTACATAATTGGAAATGATAACAAAATGATTCAGATAGAATATAGTCTCCACATAATTATATTTCTTCATTTGTCTTAACATTAACACTTGATAAGGTTGACTCAGCCTTCCATCCTTCCGAGGTCAGTAAAATAAGGACCCAGATTGTTGCGGCCAATGCTGACTCTGTAAAATGCTTAGAGAAGGCTGTAAAGGACTGTGAAGTGATATGTAAGTCTGCTATTGCTATTATTCTATCACTGTCACATCTTCAATTTAGGAATTATCTTTCACCAGCCTTATATCCAGTAGTGGGATTCAAATATGTGAACAACCAGTTCTCTGTGTAGGTGCCGCTTCAGGAAGTCCTTTCTGGGTCTGGGCAACAAAAAAATTAGCTACCGGTTCTGCCGTAGTGGTGCAAACCGGCTGAATCCCACCATTGCTTATATCTCAACAATTATTTTTTTTCTGGAATGTAAAAATAAAGACACTTGCTAAATTGCGTTTACGTAACTGGTAGAGTTAAATTCAATTTTGGTAAGTTAGACATTGTACAGGCCTAAATTTGGAAAACTGTTAATAAAGGTTTGTATTTTCTCTTTATTTCTGTCTCATGTACCTAACATAGCCTATAATTCTTTTGGCTTACACAGCATGTAAACATGAATAGTAATAAAATATTTTAGATTACTGCTGGTAGCAATAGAAGCACTAGCATCCTTTAGCGCACTGATTTCATTTTGTAATATTCTACTTTAATTATCTTTGCCAGTTTTGTCTTGTTTTTTTAAGACAGCTCCAATGTATGCAAGTCATGAAGAATCCTAGGCATTCAATTGCCTGAGATCCTAGGAATCTTACTAAATTTATGCAGACATTTTATACAAAATTATGTGAAGCTATACATTAAGAACAAAATGATGCTAATGTCTAACAATTTATAGCTAAGCTCTATGACAGAGAGACAGAGACAGAAAGAGAGATACAGAACATATATACGTTCTCTTATAGTCTGTATTTATACAGAAAAATTTAATAATATATTAATCTATATAAAAAGCTTTCATTTAAACTTTTGTGGATTGCAAATTTAATTTATTGTGCATACATAATGTCTTTTACATTTAATATGAAGTATTACGATTTAAATTAAATGCAATACATTCCTTTCTTTTGCTCAAACCAAGAATGAAGTAATCCTCACTTTAATGTTGCCTGAATTTACTTTCAATAAAACAAACAAGTGTTTTGACTTTTATGTATCTATTAATAAGATGAGCCCACAAAGTACAACATGAAATAATATATAACAGTTAAATTAAACCTAAATTAATATTTGACATATAATGCTATATGTCAACTTTTCTATGCATATATGTGAATTGACTTAAACATTCACAATACTTTGGAAGTAATTATATAATCATATGACTATAATTCAAAATATTGATATAGCATAGCATCCAATTATTTAGTAACCATTAAAGTTGTAGGGTAGAATTTCCAGATTACACAATGAATTTATTGTGTTATACTAATTTCTATTTGTTTCTAAATTGCTCAGAAAATCCAAAATGCAAGATGCAGGGCTATTTCATTTAGGAAGTAATATTCCACCTGTTTTATAAGACTTAGATAAGATATTTGCAAAAATCAGCAAAAGCTTTATACTATCAAGGAACATTTTCAAAATTAATGCTTTTTACATAATTTCACTGCACATACATTGTAAAATTCAACACTAAGATACTTAGTTTTGCTTGCCCTAATATCTATCAGGTTTCATTCTACCTCAACTGAAGTGTTAACAAAATATTACTTCTCAAGAGTTTGTGATGTTTGGACACATTCGTCTCTAAATTCTGTGACATATGTATGCATTTTAATACTGCTGTTAAGCTTTCCCTTAAACACATTTGAAAACACGATTTTATGTTTCATTTAAACATAAAACCCAAACATTGAAATGTTTACTTCATTCAAAACTATTTCACAGCCACTAACATCCTATCTTTATTGAGGTTTTTAACATTATTTATTTAATAATTTTACATACCGTATATTAATTTATTAAGCATTGCCTCCTTTTTTTTTTACAAATTCCTGAAATATTTGGCACTAGATATGGATGGGTGTGTTCTATAAAAAGGATTCTTTATATTCACAAACATCTTGTAGTAGCAGTTCCAGATAGAGACATATCTATAATTGGAGCCATTTCTCAGGTTTCAAAGTATACAACAATCATAAACCTTTACTTTCATCATTCTCTGTGTTTCGCTTTATGGCACTCTTATACTGAGTTGCTGTTGGTTTGTCAGTTTGGAACTAATTGGTGAATCTGAAATTGCTGCCACTTTTAAAGAATTTTTAATGGAACTGAGTTCCCATGTGGACAAATTAACAAGGCGTACTCCACAAAATCTCCTAGCAATCTCATACAGTTTTTTAAGAACAGCTTTTCTCAAAAGAATATATACCCATGGATCCAATATTTGATTACACGTTGCCATTCGAACAGCAAAAATTATAGTTTTACATGATAACTGGAGGTCATCTTTATCTCCAGCTCCATTTATTCCAATAATGGCCATCATTACCTACAAAAAAACAGATCAGAAAAAAACAGGTCAAAAATATATTGCTGTTTTTAACAATAATAATTTGCTTTAACAATAAAATAGAATATATGAATATATATATAGAACAACTTTATATATTTTTAAAAAACTGATTCTGGATTTGAACCACAATGGATTAAAAATTAAAATTGATGTATCATAAAGAGTCAAATCTCTTTTTGGAAAAAGATCATTTTGCTCAATGTTTGCTTAGAAATGAGTATCAGATGGAGAAAAGTTTAGTATAGTATATCAGTGTTGCTAACATAGCCTAGCATGAATTATATGTTCCTATAATTCTTTATCTATTGTGTTCATTTCTAATTCTGACGCTTTCAATATTGTTTTATTCTTTTAGTTTCTACATTCTCCTTTTTTATAGCTTTTTCCATTTTGTTTATTTGACGTTATTTGCAAATGCCATTTTTTCTAATTTGCACTTGTTTACATCAAATCTATACAATGATATCTTACTATAATTAAACAGTTATATATTTCTGAAATGCATAAAGGCTATCCTACTATTAGAATCAGGCTACTGTGCAGTTAGAAAAACTGCACAAGTAGAAATGGTACTTTTTAGCTAAGTCCTCTGGTCCTTCCCGTGTGTTTATAAGCAAAAGCTAAACACCTGTTGGCCTTTCTGATGTTCAAGAAGCTAAATTATATCCTTGCATGAGGTGCAGGAGATTACTGCATGACCATCATTAATAACAATCAACTTCCAATACTACAGGTTTTAATGCATTGAAAAGGTAGGTAATATCTTCTGTACTGCCAATGAAATTTTTGGGTTAAATCTTTATGAAATATTTGTGATGTTCTAAACAGATATGATGTAAGAATATATACGAATTTAACACATGTTCTGAACATAGAAGCTATTATGTGCCAGTCCCACTAGTAGATTAGAACAGAAAATCAACTCTACAGAACAGCTAAAACTACTTTTACTGAAATTGGTTATAATAACAGAATCTTTCAAGTGATTGTTCTGTAGGAAAAAATCTTCTCAACTTAAAAAATGTTTCAACACCTTTTGTGTAGATCAGTGGTTCTCAACCTGTGGGTCGGGACCCCATTTGGGGTCGGACGACCATTTCACGGGGATCACCAAACAACGCAGTCCGCCATTTTTTCCCCCTTTTCCTTAGCTGTGCTACTCCCTTTTATTCTATTGGCTTTTGAAAGCCAATAGAATAGACTCTCTTGAATAGAGTCTAATTCTATTGGCTTTCAAAAGCCAATAGGAATTGTCCAGGCTGTCTCTGCCCTGCTGAGCCCGCCAAAAGTCCCATTCTGCAAACGGTGCTGCACCAGTTGAGTAGTCCTCGACTTACGACCGGTTGAGTAGTCCTCGACTTACGACCGGTTGGGGGTCGCGGCATTAAAAAGGTTGAGAACCACTGGTGTAGATCATGGTTCCTGAATATTTCCATCAAGGTCATCTTCTTTGCTCTCTATGGCTTTGGATGAAGTTTTAGAGCCCTATGATTGGGGGGGATTATATCAAGTTTACCGAAAACCAATTAAAATGGCTGATTTTATGAAATATATAATAATCTAAATAAATAAAAGACTAGTAAAATGCTCAGCATCTGGTTTTCTAACTGATCCTAAAATCCATACGTTTCCATTAAAATAAATAAACTAGTGAGATAAATTTAAATTTTACTTTTAACATTATTTGGAACTCAAGATAATTCTAGAAAATTAAACGCATGCAAAATAAAAATTATTTAACATGATGGTAAACAGCTAAAATGACAAGCCTTTACATATAGATAGAAAAGTTATCCCAGAGGAGGTGCTTTCTTATAATCCAAGTGAACCTGAACTAAAAGGGACAAAAAGAAGGACTCTTCCATTGAATTATAATAAACAGAGTTGTAAGGAAGAATGGTTTTCTAGCCCCCCCCCAACTGCACTATATTTATCTGAAATTATAATAAATTAGCTATAAAATCAGCTATCTTAATTTAAAGAGCTGTTAGAAAACAAGCAGTATCACAAGATCTCTACAGATATTGAAGATTGAAACAGACACAGAAATTTTTTTACAAAGGATCTTGAAAAGTAGAAGGAGGTTCCAACCTCAAATTGATGTAGCGAAGTATAACAATGGATACATAGTATTAGTTTCAAAGAAGATCAAACAGAAAAAATGACAATTTAATTTTTGATGGAGCTGATTAATTATTGTTTGACAGGAAACAACAGAGGGCAGAAGTCAAAGTGCAAAAGCATCTTGCTTTATGAAAGAGAGACAAATTCCTAGAAATAGGAAGGAATATAAGGCAGAAGTTTTTGGCAATAGGAAGTCAAGCCACTACTGCAGATAGCACTGCAGATCTATCATCAAAGAGTTGCTCACAAGGGAATATATTATCATTTCTTAATTTCATCATGGTTTAAGAAACTACTACGCTGTTGATTTAGGAGAAAAGAGATTAGAAGTGATAAACTCTTCTTAGAGTTTCATTGTGTCCCTGACTTTAAGCCATACTCTTTAAAAATATTGCACTGTTATTAATATTAATAAATCTGTTATGGTGAGACAAAGTAAAATTTTTAAAGAAAATTGTCATGAAATTGTAAGAATGTGAAAATTATAATGAATATAATTCCCTTTATTTGTCTATTTTAAAAACAGCTTTATCATAGCAAGAGCAATAATAACTATTATGAGCATAAGCAAATCAGTAATTTTCATTATTCTCATTAAAAGTACTGTTGGTGGGCAAATTATCTTTATATGCATAAGATGTGCATTCTTATACAGAATTTACAATTGAAAAAAGCTATTCATTTCTATGGTTTAGAACCCATAGAAATGAATACAATAAGGAGCTGGATACTATGACCAGGCATGTTTAGTGAGAAGTAGTATATCTCTCTGCTACTATCTGTACAAATAGCAGCAATACATAACCCATACAAACACACAGAGTCCAGTGTTCACAAATTGCTCAACATCTCTATATCATCTAAATGAGAAAAATTTAGATCTTAACATCTAAGAAGATGACTTGATAACTTGAAATTAATGAATGGGAGTAATTTCTTCCCATTATACTTCGTATGGTGGGGAAGAAAAAAAATCACTGACTATGACATAAATAAAGGTTTTCTCCAAAAAAAACAAGCACTTTAAATCCATAGATTTCAGAAGCAAATACATGTTCTCCCAAAACCTTTTTTAGTTTTTTTGACATTCAAAAAAGAGTTAGTTTCAGCACTATAATGTATACAGTTGTTTCACTAAGTGCACCAAAGTAATTAGTAGTTATAAGACATTTTAGAAAACTGCTCACATAAGCTTATTAATTGAACTATGATCAAAATGAGAGGCAGAATGAAAAACAGCAGAAATAATTGCTGCCAGTTCATAGGAAAGAAATGATTACTAGTTACATGATACCAGATGAGTCTGGAAAGTGCATAAGGCCCAGTACTAATTCAGAAGCAATGTTTATGCATTAGCAAACATTATTAAAGAATTATCTTTCTCTAAGAGGATATGTCCCATGAAAGCACATACAATTAAAGAAAATATTTGGTCTTATTTAATATTTAAAATATTAAATTTAGTATTTAAAATTTTCTAATGGAATTGATAATCAAGAGACTTCCTTTTTCTACCAAGATGTGACGCAAACAAAGTGTGAAAAAGTAATAAGGGTACATCAATGTTAGTAATCTTTAAAAATGTTAAGAAGGTGTAAGATCCTGTGGAGTATTGACAGAAAAAAATGTCTTCCTAAAAAAAAGTTCACTTTTCTTTAGAAAGCACCAAATGAGGTTCTTGAAGGAAATATTAAACTGAAGCATACAGCTGAAGAAATAAGAACAGTGGTGACTACTTTAAGAGGTGTTTTTTTAAATATCAAATTAATATTTTTCCTTTTTTAAAGAAAATTTAATCTTACAGAAGAGCTACTTTGAAGATCTTTCTTCAAATACATTCTTTTTTTCCCACAAATACACACAGAGAAAGAGATTCACATTATTATCTCTTCCTGTCTGAATGAAATGTGATTTCCTGTAAGTGCTCTTCAAGTAACAAAGTAAAAAATCTAATGGGAAAGGTGTTTTTTCTACTAATTATATTTTCTACACAAGTTTTTAAAGGAATATAATTTTTCAATAAAGACTTCAGTTGCTTAAAGAAGAACTTGGAAAAATATAGCTGACTGTAAAATAAGTTTGGTTGAATATATTTGTGGGATAGGGAAAAAAAGGAAATGTAAATTGAAGAATGAAATAATGCTATTGTAAACAAAGTATTATTTTTTAGAAAATAATCAGAAAAATCAGAAAAATATAATGAAATCTTAAATATGAAAGCAAACTATGCTTCATGAAGTCCATAAAAATACATCAGGATAACAAGTTGTAAACCAAGCATTCAAAGTACTAAGAAATCAGATAATTCCATCTACAAATAGAACTCTTTGCACAGGTCATTTTCCTCCAATTACAGGATAATTATGTTCAGTACTCTTTCCCATATATAGTACTCTATTGTCTATTAAATGGGCTAGGCCTTTTGAATTTAAGAGGTCCAATGCATTATGATGCTGCTATTGGATTATGACCAAATGTACCTATATAGAGAAACAGTTAATAACCCGTTCATGATGAAAGAATTACAGAGATGATTTGTTCATGGCTAGGTAACAGAAAAGGATCCTGAATCAGTCACGGTAACAATGTAATCAGGATTAAAACTTAATTTCAAATCTAGTATGGAATTACCCAATTATTTTTTTTCCAGTTAGTCATTTTAAGCTAAAAGTATAAAACATTTTAAGCTAAAAGTATAAAGCAGTGGATATTAATACCCTATTATATAAAACAACTTCACTTACTGTGCCATTATTGATCTATGTATCAGGCTGGAACAGCCACCAAAAATGCTGTTTTAGCTTTTATATGACTGATACTACATGTAGATTAACTCTAATTGAACATCTTTGCATTACACAATATTAACTGATTTCCAAAGAAAACTGTTTTTGAAAAGCAGGTATAGTTTATTAAATAGATAACTGTGTGAAAAGTGAAACATCTGATTGTGACTTTTGCATTTCTCTCATTATGACCTAGAAAACTCTCATTAGCCTCAGTAAGAATGATTAAAGTACTGTGATGATTTAAGAAGTTTAAGATTATGATAAAATACTGAACAATGAAATCTTTTATATTCTCTTTAATCAAAAAACTCACATATTTCCATGTATTTCCATGTATACCTGCTCTTTCCATACAGTTAATTCATATTATAATAATGTTGTGTGGTTTGACTTGTACGAAGTTTAACAGGACATTCTTTCCACTTGATGCTATCAGCCAAATTCTTCTAAGCACAAACATATTACTTCTTTTTATCACTGCTGATTCTCTTTTCTTGCTGAACATTCTTTAAAGACACTGTTTATGATGTACCCTCATCCACAATGATGATAAAAAAAAAATTACCGCTGACTTAGGTTTTTATTATTACCAGTCATCATTGATTCAGTGATATTGAATTTCTAATACACTTTATGGCTTAACTATTAAAATACTGAATGCCTACATACAGTGCATTATTGTCCAATAATGTAGGCAGTACTAGATTATTTTTACTTTAATTAAAATAAACAAGGATGTGCAATGTGTAAATAAACAAGATAACAACTTCCTACAATCCTAATTTGCTAATGATTCCCAACATATTAAACTATGTTTTTCCATAGCTTAATATTAAACTCTATTCCTAATTTGTCTCTAGTACCAATCTGAAATGTCTTAAAAATATTTCATTCCATACTCATTCAGGAAGAGCACATGATTCCTTGTGGAATAAATAGAATGAAACCATTTAGCTGATGAAACTATAGTTTGTAATCAGAAAACTCCAGAGTGTTAAATAGTAAATGTCAATGAGAACCATTTACACATCTAAATTAAAATTAAATTTTATCACACATTTCATGGAATTTGAAAATAATCATTATGTTTACATTTTTATTTATTTATAGTTCATATTTCTTAGCCACCCATCTCCCTCAGTGTGTATGTGTTTGTGAACACACACACACACCGCTCCTGACATGCCCCAGGTCAAACTGTTCTCCATCCTATTCAGCCTAATGACTCGGAATGTTTATCTAGGATTTCAGGAAAAAAAATCTTCCCCAGTAGTCTCTAACAGTGCAGAATATAGAATTTTAGGACTTTCTTCATAGAAAGTGCTGCTAAATTACAACCCTTACACATTTAATAAAATAATGGCCATTCAAATATTATGCCAATCTTTGGTTAGGAATCCACTACATGAATTGATTCCAAACATACAGTTAACTAAGTATGGTTTTAAATATGCTTCTTGTGCATTTTTCCTACTGCCATTTTTAGGCTTTTGTAACTTGTAACCAATTTCAAAAAAGCAACATATTTACAATAAAACAGCTGTTTAGGTTTGAAGATCATGCAGTCATAGTTTCCTCTACCCATGATCCAAATAAAACAAATTATGATTAGCACAATGTGTGGGTTTAAGCTATTTTAAATATAGTTCACTGTGATATTCGAATCAAGCCACCTTCTTCAAGGAAGATTGGACTGAATGTCCATCTTATAATTTACAACTTGTTACCCATAAGTAACAAATAACAGAATAACAGAGTTGGAACAGACCTTGGATGTCTGCTACTGCAACCTCCTGCTTGAGCAGGAGACCTATATCATTCTGGACAAATGACTGTCCAATCTCTTATTTAAATGTTGGTGCACTCACAACTTCTGAAGGCAGCCACCTCCACTGACTAATTATTCTATCAGGAAATTTCTTCTTAGATCTAGGTTGGTTCTCTCTTTGGTAAATTTCCATTTGTCATTTCTGTAACAGGTGCTTTAGAGCAGTGGTTCTCAACCTGTGGGTCGGGACCCCATTTGGGGTCGGACGACCATTTCATGGGGGTCGCCAAACAAGGCTGTCTGCCATTTTCCCCCCTTTTCTTTGGCCATGCCCCTGGCACCCGGTGATGTATAAGTGGTTGGGGGTCACCACAACATGGGGAACTGTATTATGGGGTCGCAGCATTAGAAAGGTTGAGAACCACTGCTTTAGAGAATAGATTGGCCCCTGTCTTTTTTGTAACAGCAGCTCAAATACTGGTAAACTGATACCATGTCACCCCTAGCCCTTCTCTTCATTACACTAGACACACCCAGTTCTTGCAACTATTCATTGTATTTTAGTCTATAGCTCTCTAATCATCTTGTTTAAATATTGGGGAAGAAGTAGTCTAGCAGTCTACACTTCAGTGGTAAATGCAACTTATGATGTGGGTGGATTGGCATTCAAAACCCAAACTAGCCACATGTATTTTGGTTTTGCTTTGATAGAAAAAAAACTTTTTCCAACTGTTTTAAGAAATGTTGGGGCTCCCCTCAGTATTGCTGTAGACCTTTGAAGGGGCACATTGTTTCATTACAGCTTCAAATGGAACAATCCTTCAACACAAAGCTTTGTTTGCATCTACTGCTTTGGTAAAGATTCTAAATTTTTATATACTACTCTGCCCTGTGACGCAATAAGTTTCATTATTTAAGATATTCTGTTTATCTTGGTTTTCAATATAAAAAGAAAAACAAAAGAAATTATAACTTCCTTTACACTATTCCGTGATAGCCTTAGCATATTATTCAGCATCTACCCTCACTAGAAAATGTTTGCACCTAGACCCAATATTTTAATTCTCCTTAAATATCTATTATTTATATGGTTCCATTATTTTCAAAAATGCAAAATGGTTTCCATTTATTGTTTCAGTGTTCCTATTTATTAACTCTTTTTCATTAACTACATGAAAATAGTTCCAGTTATAAACATATAGAATTCACAGAACCGAGGTACTGAATGTCAGGTTTTAATAATCCCAACACATGGTCATGACTCTATCATGATCAATGCACACTTGTGCAACAGGGACAGAGAATTGCTAGTTTGATCTGCATGTACATTTGACAATTATCTTAGACTTTCCTGCATGTACTCTATAAAGGTAACTGTCCAATCTTTAAAGCAATCTATCAACCCTGATATGCAAATTCTATCCACTCCTATCACATGTAATTCACAACAGATTGAATTTCTGGAAAGTTGTATCATTATATTCAACCCAATAATTTATCCCAATATATAACATAAGAATGTAAGTAGCACCTTGCTAGGTCAGACTCCTAGCCCGGCTAACAGTCTCATAGCGACCAACCAACTGGACAAGGAAGCCTACTAATCTCCCAGCAGATGGCCTTCAGAGGCAATTACATTGTTATCAATAGCCATTGAATCTCATCCAAAGAAGATCTTAGAATTATTAATCTTGGCAGCATCAGGACTATTTTGAAAATATTGCTATATTTACAGAAACACAAGCATACTACTTGAATGAGAAGATTTGAAACAATGGATTATGTACTGTAAATATGAAAAAAAAATCTATATAACAGGAAGCTTTAGATTTGGCAAATATGATTAAGTTCTTACCAGGAAAGGGGTCCAGCAAATGCAAGAGACAAACATTATACCCAAGAGCTGAATGATCATTTCAAAATGATGAGATCTGCCCTGTCTATGTTGACTCTTAAATTTGACTCTTAAAAGTGTAATTCCTGTCACAGCATTGCACAAAAGTGAAATAATAAGGGCCAGCAAACCCAAACATGAAAAAAGTAAGATGTAAAATCTATCTTCCCACTCTTTAGTATCCTTTATTTTATAGAAGCACCAGGTTCTTGATTCTTGAATTCCATAAAATCTTAATCTCAGTATAGGCAGCAAAGCTATGAAAATAGCAAAAAAACACACCATAGTCAATATCATTTTTACATGGTTAAAAGTCATTTTTGTTGAATGAAATATTGGTTTTGTCACTCCAATGCAGCGTTCCACAGCCATTACACTGCCCAGAAAAAGAGGATAAAGTCCAAAGAACACCATACAGCTACCAAAAAAATTGCAAAATATCTTTTCTGATGGAAAAAATGAACCCCAGTTTTTATCAGACGCATATACAAATACTGCAATAGTTCCAACGATGAGATGGCCCAACAGGTCTGTGATAACCAAGCTACTGGCAAAAAGCAAAAACAATGCTTTTGATTTCTGCCTAAATCTCTTATATGCTTTCCTGAGAATTACTATTGCAAGGCTATTGGATAAAATCCCAACAGTCATGAAGATGACAGAATAATATACATCAGATTCTTTTTTGTCACCACAGGTAGAATCAGAAATTCCAGACGTTAAGTGTGAACCATTCATTGTTAGAAAGAAAATTTCAACATTCAAAATATCTCAGTGGCCAGGAAACCATCAGGCATCTGTAATACAATAAAAGAAACTATTTAAATACAATAAATGATACTACATAGTTAATCTTACCCATTTCTAATACAAAGACAGGCCTAATGTAGATGAACATGCATAAACACCCATACAAATAATACAATTAACAAAATATATAAAGGGTAATACAATAGATCAATTCAGTCAATACAAAGCTGCCAAAAAGTAGAAAGAGGTATATTTAAAATTTTGAAATGCAAATGTTAGCATAAATATGGATGGGATTATTAAATTATCAATATTTGAGAACATATTTTCCAAACAATACTCATTATCTCATACAGATTCCTTTTTAATTGTATAATTAAGAGCATGTTTTATAGTTTCATGTACTAGTATACTGATTTTTACATTTTGTGAAAATTGGACTACCTCCTAGGGAGGGGTTTTTTTTTTTCAAACTTTTCCAATTTACCTTTGCTATAATCTCTCCAATCCAATTTTCACTCACATACATCGACAATAATGCAGAAAATATATGTATATTGCAATGAACAATCTGGTGATTAAAAATAATACCAGTATGATATGTAAGAAAGTAAATTTAGCTATAACAGTAATAATAATTGGTTTATTTTGCCTAACAGTTTGGTGTGAGATAAGGCAAAGACATATAAAAGGACTCTATTTTACCTTCATTGTTATGAATCTTTCCAGAAGATAGCCTTTCCACTGCCCAAGTTTATGGGTTTAACCAAGTGAAACACAGTAAAGCATCAGCAGACTGTTTCTTACTATGCAGTGTATGAGGATGTTCTGGAAAGTAACATGTTTTCTTCTACTGACGTCTGCAGCAGTCAGAGAACCAATAGGTGAAATAAACTTGCTCTTCCTGGCTAATATATGAGCACAGAAGTGTCTCAGATAATTAGCATTCAACTGCTGACAATGAACTAAATATATTGCTTTGTACTCTCAGTTTTACCCATTTTCCCCCAACAATAGAATAAAGTAGTGTTTTTTTATACCCAGCCCCCTGGTCCATATCTCCAGACTTCGCCCTTGCATTATTTTACTCAAAATGTCATACATATAACAGGAAGAAATTAGAACTAGTAGGAGAGTAAATAACCATTGATTAAACTGATTGATCAATTTGCTTCACAAATAAATGTGTACCAGTTTCTTATATTAATTAGCCCTGGAAATAAGTGTTACTTAGAACTTGAAGTAAGGACAGAATGGCTATAGGCGTCTACAGTCTATATTTAGGTATATGCAAAGAAAGAGTTATGATATGCACTTAGGAGAGCAACAGAAAAATGGACAAAACAACTGCAAAGCACTTTTGATGTCTGCTATTTTTTTTAAGTAAGGATATTCTATGTATTACACAGTCTCCAGATGCTGCTGTTCAAGATCTGACATGCTATTCCTTCCATCAGTGCAATATTATAGCTATATTTTACTATATTTAATATGTAGATGCTAATTCAGCATATATTATTTTTCTATCATACTATACTATATGTAGATACTAATTTAGCATATATTATTTTTTTATCATATTCATTTACCACAATATTCTCATATTCCTTACTTGTAGCACATGTTCTATGGCATCAGGAAAGCACACTGGAAATACAGAGCAGAAACACAATACATCAAACTAAAATCTGAGCTTATTTCAGGTAACTGAGGAAATACCACAAAATATGTTTTTTTCCAAAACTCTAAATTAATGGAGAATGAACATCTTATTCTACATTTATACATTCTGTTCAGTCCAATTTATTCATTATACAAAATTTTCTACCACATGAATCTGAAGCTAATTGAAACATTTTTACAGAAGAAATATGAATTTAAATGTAAACAGGAAAAAAAAATACACATGAGCACATCCCCCCCCCCCCCCGTTTAAATGCTTACATTGATTTTATTTTACTGTCATTTTTTTGTCCCAAATAGCATTTAATGACCAAGCAAAGTCTCTGCATGAGTTGGCCGGGTCATTTGCACTCAACCAGTCCTTCACTTATCAGCTCACATAGATTATACACTATCTGATACTCCCCTTTCCTTATTTCTTAGAAAATGAAGTTATAGCTTCCATATAGTCTTATGCTAGTAAAAGCTCAGCATAAAAACAAGACAATCTTAGGTTAACTTTGTAAAATTGGGTTACCTATTCCACCATGCCAAAGATTTCAAAAATTAACAGTTGCAGTTTTAAAATAAAGAATATTAATTCAAAAGAGGAAGAATTCTATACAAGTACACTTGAAATAAAAATACTATTTTGGCGTTATACTAGACATAGTGATATAAAGCTGAGCACTGATATACTACAGTTTATGTTGCCTGACAAAAACAGATTCCTGTAACTAATACTAAGCCAGTGGGGAATAATGCAAACAGATAAAAAGTATATTACTTAAATGGAGGAAGAGCAACATATGTAAGTATGCATTTTCATAAGCAATTCCAATTTTGTTTCTGTTTGAATATAGCACTTAAACGGATTAAAAGTACTCTGCATACATGGCCAATTTTAAATGCAAATTCAATTTTTAATTTGAATTTGAAGCTGTATGCAAACTAATTAAAATGTCAGATATTATTTTAGCAAACTTTATATTACTTTTAGAAACCAATGCACAGAACAGCATGTTTAAGCAGACTATTTAAGTTGCCACATAAGCTTCTTTGGGGTAAAATTACCAGAGTTACCCATATATGTGAGGCTAGGGCATGCTCTCGTACAGACCTGCTTCATAAAGTTCAGCATTCTGCAGCAACTAGTCTAAATTGGATGTTAAAAATAGGTAATATGAAGAGAGCAAAATGGGTAATATGGTATGAAGAAATATGGTATGAAGAGAGCAATAAGTACAATGTAAGATGGACAGAAGAATTTAACATGGATAACAAGGGCTGCACGAATAAATTGGAATCTATTCTGAGTTGCTGCTGCAGATAAAAATGAAACTCATTGTTGTGAATGCATCAATGAGGTACTTTTGAAGTGACAGAAAACTTCAAAAATAAACATTGCCAAAGGGTGAAAGATTTCAGGATTCATTAGTGATAGCTTTCTGCAGTCATACTGAAGGTCTTTGCAGTCCCTAAGAATCCACACCAATCTGACAGCATGTATTCTATCAATCAGCCATTACTGTAGAAGTCTACCTTTTTTTAAAAAAAGTGAGGAACTATTAAGGGAACAGCAATCAGTTACTGCAAGCTAAGTAGTGGAATAATTATAATGAAGGGATCAAAATTTTAAAAAATGTCTAGAAAAAAAAAGAAGCAAGCCTGCAAAAAGAAAGAAAGGAAAGTAGGAGGCAACTGAAGAATAAGTAACGGTGAACTCTGAGAAATGAAGTAGACTGTAATAAGATTGGATGGAGTACGGAGGAAAATGAGATTCTCTTCTATAAGAGAATTAATATTGCATTCCTCCCACTGGAGCATTGGATTTGAAGTCAGTGGGATTTCTTTCCTAGTAAGCCGTATTGGATTGCAGTCTTGATTCAGCCACTTTGATCTGAAGCTACCTACCCTAGTATTTGATCCTCTTATATCCTCAAACGTCTGGCCAGAATGGGCAGTTGTCTCTTTAGTCACCCAATCATCCAAGTCTGAAGAAGGTAAAACAAAATAATACACTTAACAGGCAGCATTCAGAGAGCCAGGTGGAGGCTCATCACGCCCGAGCGCTTTACCCCGCAGTGATTTCACCGTAGCGCAGACACGTTTTATATTGTACCCTCACAGCCACGGCTAGATGATCCTACGAACCCTTGGACAGGCTGAACTGGAGAGTCCGCAAGAGCTACGCGGAACTGCCCAGTTATTCCTAAGTCTTCCCCCACAAGGACCATGAAGGCGTCCGCTTTCTGCTCCAAAGCCGAAGCCCAGTTTTCCCTTTTCCCCTGAAAGTTTGGGACTGCAAAAGCTTGGACGACAAAACGCGGGAGCTCTTTTACCTCAGGCTTTCGGGTCTCGCCAGCGGTTGCGCGCCTGCCTCGCTCTCCGGGGCATCGCCGTCACCCACCAGATCGCCGGGGCGGCAACTCCTTCCCACGCTTCCCGCTCATCCAACTAATAAGACGGAGGGAGGCTGCAGCTCCGCTCGGTCAGACCCGCCAGGCTCGCCCACGCTCCCGCCCCTTTCAGCGGGCAAACGCGTCACACGTGCCACCGGCTTGCTCTTTTCCTCAGACTCCGGACTCTTAACAAGCCGCTGCAACTTTCCCGTGGGGAAGATGGTAGTCCTTTCCAAGAAAGCCTCCGTCTTCCTTTGGCTCTGCCAAAGAAAAGGGCCGGCTTATACCTGCAAGAGGGACGGAAAGAGAAAGAAAGAAAGAAAGAAAGAAAGAAAGAAAGAAAGAAAGAAAGAAAGAAAGAAAGAAAGAAAGAAAGAAAGAAAGAAAGAAAGAAAGAAAGAAAGAAAGAAAGAAAGAAAGAAAGAAAGACCACGAAGCATTCCTGTTCTTTTTCCTGGAAAGTTAGGGCCTCTATCCACAAATCTCAGAATCCTGTTTTCGGCCATGTCTCCACGCCATTGTCTTTGTTTCGTCCCCAATCCACAGGTTTCTACAGGTAGCAAGAAATCACAATACAGTGACTCACATATCTGCATCCAGCATTAGGACACAAGAATGAAAGGAAGTGGGGAAGAATTGTGTTATAATGTAACTGCATGTATGGCACGTTTGTGTTGTCATGGCTGGCTGTGGTCACTTAGGCCCCAAACTATACCTGAGAATGAAGGTCAGTTTAGCTGTCCAATGTTAAAACAGCATTTTCCCCTTTAAGAGTTAAGAAACAGTGGCAGTTTTGCCATAATAGGCTTCACAACATTTTAGTGGATGCCCATATTAAGTGGGGATGTAGTTCTGGACTCATCCCTTTCGAACTGGTGTTATAACTTGAGTATTAGTAACAATTTGAATGCTCAACCCTCATGTGGCTAAACTATCTGAGGTGGGGAAAAGCATGTCAGATGGAAGAGCTTCCTCTTTGAAGTGAAAAGATACTCATGACAGCCCTATGCTTCAAGATCTTCAATCTCATCAGAAGCCATGACAAAGCAGATAAAAATGCATAGTTATCTACTGCCTGGAAGCTCTTCTACTTCTGAGTATGAGAAATCATTTTGAAACCGTAGCCCTGGATTACCTCTCCTACGTGCAGAGGAAGCTGATAGTTAAGGAACACAGCCAAGTGGAGAGAGCTACTAAGCTATCAAAGCTCACAAAGCAAAAATACAATAAAGTCAACTGATCCCTAAGGGTTGGGATCAAGCTAATAGGTATTGGATACTTCAGATGACAGCAAACATACCTTCTCCTATTCTGCCCCCAAGGGTTGCTTTTCAGGGATATATAGCTTCCATCAGCAAAGGAATTCTTCTCTTTAAAACCAACATGTCTTCCATATACATCAGGTTTCTTAGAAGATCTCCATCTTAATGATCTTGATCAACAATTGCCTGCCAGAAACAGGTGAAGTGGAATGAAGGTCTGTTGCAGTATGAAGCTGGAAAAAAAAGATTGTGTTGTCTCACAGTGCATCTAACACTGTACCTGTAAGCTGTACCTGTAGCCCTGGAATTTGAATCCAAAAGTACCCCAGGCTCAGCTCTGATTTATTACAGATGTTTTACCTGGTGCATTCAAAGGTAGTAGCCCAACACCTAAGCATTGTGATTTGGGGGGGTTAGTGCTATTTCAGGACAGCACTGATTCTCTGCAAGTCATCTGTTATGAACATATAATTGGGCTACCTCTAAATATACCTGCACCAACACCTATGCCAAAGAGCATCCCAGGCCAGGTTCATGATGCATTAAAGAAACTAATTGATAGATTTTTTTCCCCACTTCACATTTCCCATTGCTAGCGATGTTTTGAAGGGAGGATATAAAGCTAGGGAAACAGATTAACCCTTGTTCATTGACATGTCCTCTATACTGGCATTGTATCTATGGCACACTAAAGATTGTCCCAATGCAACTATAGCTTATACTATAATTAATAAAGGCCCTTAATAGGAATGTTTCTCTCTCTGATAAACTAACATAGTTCTCTTCGCACAGAACACAATCTGAAAATCCAAACATCAAATATCACAGGAAACAGACTTTTGATTTAAGGTTTCTATATAAACAATATATCAGTAAGCTGGACATGGTTTGCATCATACCCGAGTCTTTTGTGAATAAAAGAGTTTCGTCTTCAGTGTGATTCCAATGAAGAGATATCTCAGAGTCAGTTATCTTGAAAGATTCTCAGCAACCCCAGTTGTATTGAGAAAATAGTTAAATGGAGATTTTAGAAAGAGTAAGTAAGTTCCTCGAGCTGAGACAGTTTCTGCTGAGATTACCTCTGCTTTCATTTTTATCCAATTGATAGTAAATTTAGCAGTTAGACGGCACTTGGATTAATTCAACCCTGCCGGATTCAGTGACAGTATGCTAACAATAAAATACGGACTATAACATTTCCAAAAGCTTTTGCACTGGTAAACATGCAAGTGAAAGTCATTAAAATTTGAGTCAGTTTGCATGTATGATTAAGTGCTG